GGGTTTAGGGGCTAGGGCCTAGGGTTGAGGGAACATCGGAGAACAACTGCAGCTTCACGACGGCTGCGGCACCACACCTGCTTGACACCCCAGGGCTGTCTGGAGAGACTTTTGCAACAGTCAAACACGCTTGAAGTGCTAGCACGCTGAAACGTGATGAAATACCGTGCCGATGACAAACCTGGAATGGTGAGATGTTGCATGTTTGTTGACTTGTTGACGAAGACGAAGATGCGCGATGACGATTGGGGACTGATATGGATGATGCAGTTGTGATGACGGCGACCAGGCGTAGCGAGAGCAGAAACAACAAACAACAGTGATCGCACGCACAGTCACTGCCGCCACCACCATGACCACCACCGCCAGCAGCACCGACGCAGGCAAGGGCTCCGATAGCGGCACCGCCACCAGCAACAACAAGAACAACACCACAAGGGCGATAATAGGGATAAAGCTAGTGCTGCTAGTAAGAATAAGAATAATACCTTCAATAAAGGCAATACCACGATTATTATTCTTACTGCTGTTGCTATAGTGTGATGCTGTAGCTGCGGATGCGGACGGCTCCCACTGCTCTCATCCCATGAGTTTGTCACTCCAAGCATGTAGGGGCCTTAATAACTAGAANNTTATTAAGGCCCCTATGGCCCCTATATTATGTAAGAGCAGGAAATCCGTTGTGACATCATCAGAAGCAGCCTTCAGCTCATGAAAGCCCCTGAGCATCGGCCAAAGGGCACCGCGGGTGAAGTTCTGGAGCGACTCGGCGCTAGATTGCATGGACCTTTCCGCACTGGTGAGCCTTGGCTGAGGGCGGATGGATAGGAAGCAATCCCAACGTAGCCGCATCAAGGCTAAAAACCAACAAGAACGCAAGGGGTCAAGCAGTGGTAGTCTCAATTAAGAAGTAGTAGTCGCACTAATTACTGCTAGTCATCGCCGTGGTTGCAGCAGCACCAGCAGCAGCACTGCTGGTAATAGTAGGTTTTTCCCACCCGCCCAGCTGACTATGTCGCACCAGGACAAGAGGTGGAGGCAGCAGTTCACGTAGTCGCGGTGATGATACCCGTTTTCGTCGTTGCCGTCGTCGTCGTAGGATTTGACTGTACAACAAACAAGCTTCTCCCCAAAGCTATGAATCACGAGCGTGTCTCTCGTTCGCGTTTTCGATACTACACCCATACTTCGGCTTGAGGGCCTCGTGCATAACAAAAAGCACAACCAGGACAGTGGGACAGCCGAAGTCAAGGAAGATGGAAGTTCATTCGGTAAGTTGGCTTGCTGGCTCGAGGCAGATCCAGGATCATCATGTTCTGGCGGCG